CATTCGGCAAAAATCCAAATGTTTCCATATTCGCAGTGTATTTGAATGTTAAACTATTATTTATAATGTAAACTAGGCTTGTACTTTACACGCATTCGCATTTAGAAGGAAAAGATCATCCTCATCACATGAACAAAAACATCCTTGGCATAACAGCAGAGTGGACCGGTACACTACGGTCTATTTAAACTGGCCAGTGTAACCTTTTATATGTTTGGTTGACTGTATTTTATTTTGATAATGAACAGACTGCGATGTAAGTTTGAATTGCTAGAATATGTGGGGTGTGTACGCGCAAGGCACCAGCGCGATCGAACAGCTGAAACATAAAAAAAAAAAACTAAATTTTTGGAGTAAGATATAATCCTTAAAAGTGTTTACTTTTATTTTTGCACACTCACAATAAAAACAGAAGATTTGTGCTTTTGTCAAATAAAGCAAGCAAACAGAAATGCGCATTGTCATTAGGTCCATGCAGAAACTCTTTTTGTTTAAAAATTGTTTATTTTTTGTGGTTGTTAAAAAAATGTAAACTTATTTTGGTTTGTAACAGGCTTACTCCTGTCTGGCGCCCGAACACTTTAATTTAGTTATTTAAATATTGATTTAAACTGTTTTCTGGGGCCCACCACCGTTACAATTTTCCACAGTCAAGTGGACTTCACCATTTTAGTGCTAAACTTGCCAACAAATGGAAAGGACCCTAGTGAACGATGCTCTAGTTGTGGCATCACCGTTTAGTGACATCATTGAATGCTCTGGGAAAATGTATAGTCAGTGTTGGTCACAGTGCCTTTTAATTGCTGTTTTGAATCCAGTAATTATTTATTTATAAATTATAGACTCTGATTATGACAAGTGTGGTATAAAAGCTTTGTTTATTAGAGGAATAATTGGTTGGCTGGAAAATGTTACATCGCGACCATGCTTTTGGGTGCCGTTCGAGCCCATATAGACTACATTTATGCAATTTTGTTCTGGTTTGCCGGTTAGTCATGAATTTCCACAAATTCAATAATATTTAGGCCTTGTTTCTTTTCCTAAATCCTCACCGTCTAACCCTCTAATTTCGCAGGTTTATTTTATTGTCATTCACTTTTTATCACTGTTTTCGCATCTAAGGGAAATTAAAGATTTCATGGCCATGAATTAAGAATTTGTTCGATGTATTAATTTGTTCCCTCATTTAGTTAAATCATGGGTTATTTAAAAAACTAAATTAATGAAACATGGACAGTGGCCACAAATGATTAAGTCGTAGGAACAAATTAACAAGTTGTAGGAATGCATAGCCAATCTGTCCGGTGTCCCGCAGCCCTGCAAAGCGCAGAGCCCGATATGAAACAATTATCTGGGGAAATTACTTAGTTACTAATTCTATTGCTTTTCATGTTGAAGAACTTTGTGTTGTTTCTATTTTAATGTACTTTTAAAGTTTAAATCACATTAAAAGCTTAATTAGTACATTATGAATGAATGATGATGCATTTATATACGGTCACTCGCACGTGTTTTGTGCATGAGCCACACGCAGCCCAAAATTAAATAGCTCAATCGACCATTGATAGCTTTAATCGATTGCATCTCTTATCGACAATTAACCGATCATCGATTAATCGTTGACATCTCTAATTTTAACTAAAAACATTGATGGTGAAAAAAAAGTTTATGTCCATGTCTCTCATCAACTAGCTATAATGATATTGGCTGAGCTTAATTTACAATTCAAAAACCTGTAAAAACAGAAAGTACAAAAGCAGGTGACCTCGGCGATGAGAACAAAAGTCCGGGTGCTGAAAAGGGTGAGAATCAATTGCTGCGACCGTCTTAAGTCGATGGGGGAGGGTCAAGACCAAAGAGACAATTCGCTTGGAAAACTCATCTCCCTCTTAATTTGTTTCTAAGGAGATTAATGAACAAATCTTACATTTCACGAGCATCAAGTTTATGTTAAACAGATGGGCGGGGGGTTAGTGTGACTTGCATTTGAGCAGAACATTTCCTTAACAATAAAAAACAATCTTCCCAACTACAGCAGCACTCCGAGGAATTCAATGCCCCTCCCCCACTCTTCCCTAACCCTCCCCGCCACCCCCATTACCATATCAAAGCCCCGAGTTCAGAGCAAGACTTCTCTTTCAAGAATGGAAGCAAGGCATCAGGAGGGAGGAGGAGGAGGAGAGGACAAGACCGCAGTGGCAGGGAAAGGCCTGAGCTCCAGTTCGCTTTTATGCCTGCTGTTCGGTGCAGGAGAGAGAGAGAGTGAGACAGAGGCAGACACACCGAGACGGTGGAAAACAGATGTAAAGACTACTGATCAGCACTACAATCATGTGCAGTAGAGGAGGCTGCCTTCTTTAATTCACATTCCAGAGGCAGGAGATAAAAGCAGCGGGGAGTCTTGGAGAGAGGGAGTGCAGGTATATATATATATTACAGTGGGTACGGAAAGTATTCAGACCCCCTAAATTTTTCACTCTTTGTTATATTGCAGCCATTTGCTAAAATCATTGAAGTTATTTTTTTTTCCTCATTAATGTACACACAGCACCCCATATTGACAGAAAAACACATAAATTAAATATATGAGTGTCACAGCAAAGGGTCTGAATACTTAGGACCATGTGATATTTCAGTTTTTCTTTTTTAATAAATCTGCAAAAATGTCAACAATTCTGTGTTTTTCTGTCAATATGGGGTGCTGTGTGTACATTAATGAGGAAAAAAAATTAACTTAAATGATTTTAGCAAATGGCTGCAATATAACAAAGCGTGAAAAATTTAAGGGGGTCTGAATACTTTCCGTACCCACTGTATATATACATACATATGGAGCTGGGAAGGAGGTGGGGGCCAGGCTGATCACAATGATGGACACCATCCAGTGTTGCCAGACGTATGATAATTATCGTATTTGTACGATAATTTTGACTTCTGTACGATGTATGATCAATAATGAAAAAAATCCCATAATTTTAGATAATTTTCTTCCAAATACGATAATTTTGAGCTTCAGGTACGATACTTGGACATTTCCAATCTGGCAACACTGACACCATCCACCACACAACTCCACTCAGAGCTGAGGCCTGTTCAGACAAAGTCCGACTAGATTTTCAAGCAAAACAATACATCTCTGCAAACTCCAGCGTACAGGATTGTGAAATGTTGTACTGCGACAAGCCGTTGTTTTTATTCAAATGCTAGTCTGACTTTTTAAATGTTTATGCTCACCAACTAGAGAAAATAGAATTCAGAATCGCATTCTGCTTAACGTGCGTGTTTTTTTGGCACAGTGACCAAGATTTTTACAACAATACAAGACATTAACATGGTTACAAAACAGCTGCCATCAATCCTGGAAATAAAATTACTTGATTTTCCATGTTTTGTATTTTTCCAAACACTATTAGTTTCTTAATTCAATTCAATTAATTTTTATTAAAAGTTTTGTCACTGAATAGCAGCACAAGAAATGTCTAATTTAAATTAGAACAGTTAGAAACAAGATTATTTTATTTTAAAATATATTTATAATTTATATTTTTGTATTTTATATATTATTACACATTTATAATAATGTATATTTATAATTACTATTTTATTACTTAATATATAAAGTAAGTTAATATATGTGACCCTGGAGCACAAAACCAGTCACAAGTAGCACGGGTATATTTGTAGCAATAGCCAACAATACATTGTATGGGTCAAAATTATCGATTTTTCTTTTATGCCAAAAATAATTAGGATATTAAGTAAAGATCATGTTCCATGAAGATATTTTGTAAATTTACTACCGTAGATATATCAAAACTTAATTTTTGATTAGTAATATGCATTGCTAAGAACTTAATTTGGACAACTTTAAAGGCGATGTTCTCAATATTTAGATTTTTTTGCACCCTCAGATTCCAGATTTTCAAATAGTTGTATCTCGGCCAAATATTGTCTTATCCTAACAAACCATGCATCAATGGAAAGCTTAGTTATTCAGCTTTCAGATGATGTATAGAGCTGGGCGATATGTAAAAAATATCTTATCGATAATTGCCTTTAAAAATATTGCGATATCTGATAATATCATCTACCTAAGCCCCACCTCCACCAAAACAACATTGCTGACATGCACAATAAACACACACCATGTTCAGTTTGGTCTTAATTATTGCCACAAATTTTGGTTTTACTTTTCTTAGTTTGGGCTTAAACTAACAGAAAACATTAGCTTTACTGTTATTTTGGTGTTGCTAATAATTGTAGTCTCCTGGGCATGCTGTCAACCAGGTTCATGCAAACCTCAACTTTTTTCCCCCAGACTCGGTCTGAATAATTTTTGGAGCCACATTTGTACTGGTAGTTCACTGTATGAAGAATTTTTGGGTATGATTTGGCACAGTTTACTTTAGTTAGCCCCAACATGTTTCCACATTTTTTGTGAGCTTTTGTGAGTATATAACATGTAAATTAAGGACTCATCTCATTCACCATGCTTAAATTTTATGATGTATATCATCGATTCTGCTCTCTAGACCTTAATTTCAAAATACTCATATGTCCTTATTTTCCATGTCCTGGCCGGGATTACTAAAGTGCCTAAAATGTCCAAATTTTGGCTTTGTTTTCCTATTGTTTTCATACTTGCTAAAAGTAATGACTGAAACGTAGTTTAACCAATAGCGTGCAGGTGTTATGCATAATCGACTATACAAGGTATTAGCCCCAACATGTTTTCACATTTTTTGTGAGCTTTTGTGAGTATATAACATGTAAATTAAGGACTCATCTCATTCACCATGCTTAAATTTTATTATGTATATCATCGATTCTGCTCTCTAGACCTTCATTTCAAAATACTCATATGTCCTTATTTTCCATGTCCTGGCCGGGATTACTAAAGTGCCTAAAATGTCCAAATTTTGGCTTTGTTTTCATACTTGCTAAAAGTAATGACTGAAACGTAGTTTAACCAATAGCGTGCAGGTGTTATGCATAATCGACTATACAAGGTTTGCGAGGTGGGATCTACAGAGAACAGTCAAAGCAAAGCAATGCAAATATGCTTACATATAATGTATACAGACTACAGAGCACGTCAATAAGAAAACAAAGCCAAAACCTGGGCATTTTAGAAATCCCAGCCAGGACAGGTCCAGGAAAAAGAGGACATATGGTCACCCTATTTTTAGAGAATCGTTCATGATCGATTCTTCAAAGTCTCAATTTAAAGCATGCGTCGTTTGGCTGCCAAACAAACCAGAGGATTTATGGTTATTGAAGACATACAAACAACCTTCAACATTCTTTGCTGAATATGATTGCAATCACAGGTGCAAACATCTCCTCCAGAATCAATCAAGATGTAATGGACACACTAAGACTCGAGTCTTTTAAAAAGCTCAGTGTCTGTAGATTGAGAAGATACAGCAGCAGTCTCGGCTCACTCCAGCTAAATGAGTAACTGACACATGGTCCTCATTTGTCTTCAGGGAAAAGCATTCCACCCTTTAATGGTATTATCCAGCCCTTTTTACACCCTGAACGTGCTTAATTTATTGAGCAGGTCTGGAGAATATCAAAGCAAGTGAGGACCCTCTGTCTCGCAGAGGAAACATTCTTCTCAAAGCCAGAATCATATGTGCTAAATCCAATCATCGATCATTTCGGGGCAGTCTCCCATCAGCAAACTTTATTTCCAGGCTCGGTGAGCTCTGATGCATGGGAAGCTTATCTACGCACAGCCAGATTTCAGAGCTACTGTATTAGAGAGCAGTTGAAGCATGCTTTCCAGGAGAACTGTTAACCCTTAACAAATGCCAATAATCTAGGTGTACTCGTTAAAGCTGTTCAACTCGCAGCTGGGATTAACATGCCACCTGAGCATGAAACTGATCATGTGACATACAGCCACTTGTAAAAGGTTTTTATTCTTAGCATTGCATTAGCATCAAAAAACGAGAATTCTGTTACAAATCTCTGCACTAGCCTGAATAATCTTTTACAAAAAAGTCCTGAACTGAACACCACAAAACTCGCTGCCTATTATTGCAGTTGGCCGCAGCTAAACAAAGTTAGAATGTTTCCCTTTTGCTCCGAGGCAAACAGATAACGTGGGAAATCCCAAAAAAAGATTGTTTTTTGGTGGATGAGGCCTTAAGCTGATGACACACAGTGCAACTCATTGGGTAATTTTGTTGGAAATGGGCAACGGCACTAGCTTGGGCAATGCTGAATAGGTTACTGTTGATTAGTTAGCTTGTCTTATCACATTGCCTACTTTCCAGCTGTCGTGTTTATCGTCTAACATGAGTTAGAGGCTGAGCAAACTTCAAATTTACTTCTAGCCAAGGCTTCATTTGCTGCCTGTTGTTGGCTTTAACATGTTCACACCCAAATATTTCAGGTATGTTGCATTCGACGCAAGAGGCACAAATATTTAAATACGTGAGATGGCAAAAAATGGATCGCTTATTTCCATTTGCTTGAAAACTAATGCAATATGAGCAAGACAAATACAAAAACATCAAGTAACGACAACTGACATTACAAACAGAAATCCAAACTCATGTCTATGGATGGATGATCATGAAAAGGCGTAACTGACACAACTGAAACATTTACTGGGGTGTAATGAGAAGGGAAGGTTTTTTTATTATTGTTAATTGTATAACTATCTTAAGAGTTTCACTCTTTGATCAGGGCCTGAGAGTGGGTGAATTATTCTTATATGTGGCTTTTATGTGAACCGAATTTTAAAACGAATACCATCTGATGAGCTGGTTTGAGTATTGTTTACTTTAAGTTGCTTATGAAGCACAATGTGAGATTGTGTTTTACCTTCTCATGCACATTATTTTAGATATTTTTGGCCATTACAGGCTATTATACAAAGAGAATGATGACATGCAATGAAACAGAGGAGCAAATAAGTCACTTGTTCTCATTTCATATTTTAAACTATTGTCAAATACACACAGAAACAGCAAAGACTTAGTTTAGTTTTCTGTGAAAATGAAGGTTTAAGTGTTCAATCTGAGGTGCTTTTTTATAATTGAAGATAACTACAATCAAAAATATTTATTTTATAGTACTTATTTAAATAAATGACAAAAACATATTATAATAAATGAAAATAATCATTTCTATATAAATTGGTAATGATATTTTTGCTAAGTTAATAATAAGAACAAATAAAACCTATTCAAGTGGTTTTTGAACAGACTGTGAAAACTAAACTGACTCCAGAAAGAGCACTTTTTAGGGCCAGGGCAATGTGAATATAACGAGAAATGGTTTCTTTCTCACTTGATTCACATTTCGCTCTGTTCAAATTGGTCTGAGTTTGGTTCTTTTAAATGTTTGGCCACACTGAGATATTTTATAAAACACTGTACTGCGTCTTAAACTGAATGAGGGTGCATTTTTCTCTTTGTCATCAGCATGGAGGGGATGATGGGGGAGAGAAGAGGAGGGGGTGCTCATGCGCTCCTGTACTGACCTGTGCTGGAAGTTGAGCGGCAGGGCACACCCTGCTGTGCTCCCCCCCAGCTCCCCCTCCCTCTGTGGGGTCCACTGCGCCGGTGCCTCCTCTGGCCAGCATCTGGACACAGGGCAACAGGGTGAGAGGCTCAGACAGCGCTGACATCTGCCCCCACCGTCCCAATGACATCCCACCCCATCCTCCCCTTACACTGGGACAACATACCCCCACAGTAATTAATACAGATCAAGAGAAGAAAAAAACATAAATCAAGTACCGTGGCATATGAGGATGGAATCAGAACAAGTCTGATTTTGCCAAAAAATGTTTGAAATGTCGAAACAAAGACCAAATCATTACCTACTAAATGCAAAGTAAACCTAAAGTCACATGAAAACAAAATGTGATGTTTAGCAGACTAGACTGCTGGACTAAAAATATCTAACCAACAAATATTAAAAACTTACTCAATTAATAAGCGATTTAGTGATATAACTTGCAGCTCTTTTCTGATGGATGTAATCTGGTCTGTCAACTCAGTTGACCTTATCTACCAATACTTGCAGTGACAACAACAGGCCAAAGCAAGTTAAGAAGTCTTGTGCATTTGATTTGTTTTAACATGCAATGAAAAAGCAATCCAGACAAGACCACGTCTTAACGCGCTCTTCCCTTTCTGAGCGAAGCACGTGCCTCCACTCAGCAAATAATGCAGGTTTGGGACACATTATACTAATTAATTTAAGAGGCATCATGATCCATTTAATGAGATACCACAACTGTGTATATTTCATTAGTCTCAAATAAAGGAAATCGGTTTATAAAAGACAGAAAAAAAAGAGAAATATGCATTGTAGTGTCCAAGAATGCTGAACGCACTAGGTAAAATCCCTCTGAAGCGGAGTAAAGCTCCCCACTCTGCAAATGAAGCTGCCTTCTCTGCCCTAAAACCATCCCACACTTGACAAAATAATAATGCATATTTCTCTCAGGTATCTGAACTATTTCAGGTCTGTGCAGAAGCACCGAAGGGCTTTTTTGTTTCATAACTGAAGGCGGCAATGGCTTATACTCAAGAATAACTGCAGAGTATCAGTGACAGAGAAGAAGTGACTAAAGAGAAAATGCATTTACGTCCATCACTAACAATATCTGGCATTATCCTTAAAGGAGTCGTTCACCAAAAAAAAAAGTCAATTCTGTCATTCACTCAACCTCATGTCAATGCGATGCTTTGAACAGTGTTTACACTGCCTTTTCCCATACAACTCAAAGCTCCCTTTGCTGCAGCTCTCAAATCTAATTCACTTCTGCATATTCAAACTTGCCATATTATGATCAGTTATGAGACACACAAGAACCAACAGTGCTTTGCATCATTAACATGACACATGCTGTGACAAATCTTCATGCCAGTTTGAAGATGCAGAAGTTCAAATTAGATTTGCGAGCTACAGCGGAGGGGAAAAAGTAGCAATAGGTTACCTTGAAGATTGATTTATACCTAATCTAGCTCTTAAAAATGTATTTTGTTATCTTTATTGTTGGGTATGATCCATGCAATAAAAAAAACACACTCTTACACTCTGGAAAACTTCAGACTCCCCTTGCTTCAAAACTTGGTTGAATGAAATGCTTCATGTTATACGAATAGAAGGTAGAAGTTCTTTTGAGCCTAACTTTTGCATTGTCAAATTTCAAACTGTGTGATTTTCTTGGATTTCATCAGGTCTGCATAATATACCCTTACAAAAAGTTCTCCCTGTAACAATTTTTGGACCTTTCTTAAGTCTACACTGAAAGAAATTAAGCACAGAAACAATTTTCACTCAGAAATTGCTGATACATTTCACAAACAAATAAAAGAAAGAAAGGGCAAGAAACACATTACATTAAACATGAAATTCTGAAGTAAAAACATCTGAAACAGTACTTTCTTGTCAAATATACTAAAAAAACAACAATATTTTTGTTTTATTGACAAATATGTGTAGGCTTATGTTGCGTATGTGGGGAATTCAGGTGAATTTGTCATTGAGTTGACTGAAAAACACAGTCTCAATATATCCTAGTGTAGGTGACATTATATCATTTTTAGTTTGAGCAAAAGCACTTAGCCTAATTTGGATGTTACTCCACAAGAAACATTTTGATTTGATTTTTTAACAGTTTGAAATGTCAAGTCTGTTTCTCACGTGAAGTTAACATATGGCTTCATAAGACTAACTCTGGTCATGTTAATTGCCATTTTATTCATTCTTATTCATTTATGGAGCTTGATTGCATTAGTCCCCATTCACTTTCATGACTTAGAAAACAGCAGCCAGGTCATCCAGCAAAATAATTAAAGAAATGTTCATTTGTAGGTGAAAAATTCCTTCTTTAGATGTTCAATCTTCAAATAGACCAACACACCATTAATCTCGTGGGTCTTTTGCACAAGTGAAACAAAAAGTCACCGCACAACACTAAGACCCAATAAACGCAGTATAGACATGAAAGCAATATGGGTGCGTTTTTAAGTTCCTTGTGTAGCGACCCTCCATCTCATTAATAGAAACTCAATTTGCGGACAGCTGCACACGCGCACACATTATAGGAGAATTGATTGCGCCCAACACACAATGAAAAGGATGAACACCAGGGAGGAGGAGGAGGGTGAAAGAGAAGTGAATTAATTACGAGAACCAGGTGGTCAAATGGCTTGGTGGAAAATCACAGGCTAATGACACATATACACGCGCATACGATCCCTCATTAAAAAGGCAGCTTTTGTCCAGGCTCGGCGGTTGGCGTTGACCTTTCAACTGATCGCAGGTCACTAGCGATCCATAAGAGATCAATTGCACCGCGGTCAATAGACATACATCGACTGTACGCGAGCAGAATCTGCGGGAAAAGGCGGGAAAGTCGTCAAACCGGTCGGCTGCTTTCATCTCGAGGTTAAGTCTGACGCTGTTTGACGGCGATGACTTAATTAAGCGCGCGCTGATCATTATCTATGCTAATGGCGAGGTAGCGCATTGTTCCGATTCATTTATCTAGCGGGGCCTCAACCTGGCAGGCGCTCACTGAAGACCAAATGGCTTCACAGAGCCCATGGGCTCCTGATGGCAAACGTATCGGTTGACCTCTAAAGCCTTTTTGGCCCCTTTTAGCAAAATCAGAGGAGAGAAATATACTTGCGTAATTATCATTTTGGAGCGTGTTTAGTGTGAATAGAAATCGGCGTTTCGTGCGTCGGCTAAAAATCTTTATACTCCAAAGATGTCGACAGTTTCAATCACACGGATCTCTAGTACTTTAATAATAAAAAAACTCGTTATAATAACTTTCGAGTACATTACCTAACTTTCAACCGGTTATTTAGTAAATGCATTTATACTTCAGCAGACGCCTTTATCCAAAGCAAGTCACTGAAACGTCAAATATCGCGACTGTTTCTCTAACTTTTAACAACTGGGAAGATGCAAGAACACCCAAACAAATGTAATCAAAACTAGCATTTTTTTTTTCTCTAGTAAAACTGTGTGCCTTAAGTGTAACATGAGCAATGGGTGCAATGCATTCTATCACATGCGATTTTCAGCCGACGCAATTATTTATAGTGTCTATATAGCGCAAAGCGATGTTAGATTTGATCTAGCTGCTGATGCACCAGCAGTTCCCTTCAGAGAAATTCTCGATGCTTTTCTTGAGCGCCTCGCGCAGCTCTTACCTCGCCTGCGCTTCGTCGAGGCTCTCGTCGGTGATGGCCATGATCTGCTGGAGAATATCCCCGATGTCTTGCGGCGGCTGCCCGAGGGACTGCTGCTTCCGAACCGAATCGGGGTCACCCACGTCGGCTTGGGAGAGTCCGCCGAGTCCGCCCATGCTAGCCAGCATTCGTGTCTGATCATCCATAATACCTCGAGCCGAACCTCGCCGTTTCCCCGCCGCGAACCAGTGAAAGCGTGTATCAGCGCCCTGTCTCCGCGACCATGAACCACCGACGGCGTGAACACAAGCGTGGAGCCGAACGACCCACTATTAGATGAGAAAACGATGAGAGTGCGACTGAAATGTGGGCTTTAGCCACATCAAAACGACGCGCGGTGGATGGATAAAGGTGGATAACCAGCTCGCGTGGAGAGGGGGGAAACAATGCTTTAATTCCAGAATCTAAAGCAAACCCCCGCACACTAGCACTCCCATAAAGCAGTCTAACAAGAAAATACAAGCGTCCCTGGAAATATGAAGTATCCCACGCGTGGCATCTCAAAGTATCGCTTCTCTAACCCGCTCACAGTCCGCGATAAAATCATTCATGTCCACAAACAACGCGACCAATCTGGCTGACAGCTATTAACGTTACAGTAGAAAAATCTCAGACGCTACTAACAAGCCGGACTAAACCAACCAGAGAGGCTAACAAGCTAATAGAGAGAGAGAGGGGGGGGGGACTCTCTGCTGGAAATAAATCGAAATAGAAACTCTAGCCTTCGCTTTTCAGCGTCCCCTCGCTCAGGAAAACGCAAAAACTCAACGGACAACACGAATCCCGAGAGCGGCGGAGGAGCGTCCCGGCTTTAACGCGCAATTCCGCGATCTCCGACACAATTGACTCGCAGTGTTGGCTAGCTGCTTAGCAGCGGGGCTAGCTAGCATTCGAGCGCTGCTAGCAACAGATTCACACGGGCTCCACAAACACCCCCGGGACCGACAGCAAACTGTGCGCGAAATGCCCCGGCTTTAGGTGGACTGCGCGAAACGGCTCAGAATGGCGACGCTCAGCTCCATGCCAGCCGACTCGACTTAGTTGGTTTGTTCCCGAGCAGTGGTGCTGTCGAAGAAAGACTTGCCCCTCTCGTGTGTTTCTGCCCTCCTCGGCGGCTCTTTCTCCCCCTCTGAGCTACTACATGGAGCCATACGTCACCATCGCGCACAAAAGAGCCGCGGCTGCGCGACGCCTCTAGGGGCGACACCGAGCGCGCAGACGCCTCTAGGGGCGACACCGAGCGCGCAGACGCCTCTAGGGGCGACACCGAGCGCGCAGACGCCTCTAGGGGCGACACCGAGCGCGCAGACGCCTCTAGGGGCGACACCGAGCGCGCAGACGCCTCTAGGGGCGACACCGAGCGCGCAGACGCCTCTAGGGGCGACACCGAGCGCGCAGACGCCTCTAGGGGCGACACCGAGCGCGCAGACGCCTCTAGGGGCGACACCGAGCGCGCAGACGCCTCTAGGGGCGACACCGAGCGCGCAGACGCCTCTAGGGGCGACACCGAGCGCGCAGACGCCTCTAGGGGCGACACCGAGCGCGCAGACGCCTCTCGTTACGTTTGTAAACAACTTGCGCGTCTCAAGCATTGAAGCTTTAACCGATCTAAGAAATAAAACGCGTAAATGTATAGAATTTTTGAATCAAATTTCTTATCACCTCTAGTAGTTTCTGTTTGTTCCTTTGATGCTATTATGTAATTGATAAGTTAAAACACTGTGATTCTCTATATTTGTTTGTTGGGTTAATGTTCTTATGTAAAAAAAAAAAAGTCAGTTAGTTTACGTTGCACAGGGGAAAAAAACAACACTTGCGCGTCTCTTTCAAACGCATCGCATGCAGGTTCTTCGTGGAAGTGGATTTTGTGTAGTAACCATAGCTGAACCATAGCTTTGAACAAGACCATGGTAACCACTGGTAAAACAATGAATGAGTACATTATATTTTAGCATAGAAGCGGTTTTGAATATTCTGCTGGTAATTTACAGGCATATGAAAAACCGAAAATGTGATTTTCTTGTTTAGTTTTGCTTTTAAAGAAAAAACTTGTCATATACTCACCTCATGTTAATACAAACCTGTATGAATGACTTTCTTCTGCAAAAGACACAGAAAATATTTTGAGAAAGGTCTCTTTTTGGTCTATACACTGAAAGTCAATGGGAACCTAAACTTTTATCAACATTCTTCAAACGATCTTTCGTGTGCCACAGAAAAATTTAGATCAGACATTTGGGCCTGGTTTCACACAGGTCTTAAATTAAGCCAGGACTAAGTTAGTTCAATTAGGACATTTAAGTAGTTTTTTATATATATATATATATATATATAAACGTGCCTTAGAAAAAAACATTACTGGGATGCATCTTGAGACAAAACAATGGCTCTGATATATTTTGAGATATGTCAGTGCAAGTTTCTTTCAGTTGAAATCGCTCAGACATGCATTTTAGTCTGGGACTAGCCTTAAGCCTGGTCTGTGAAACTGGGGGTTGGTGTCTTTACTACGTTTTACATTTATACACATTATTTTTTGGTTCAATGTGCCACAGGACCGGAAATTACTTTCTTTTGGTTTCTCAAGTTTTGGTTACCAATGACATCCATTATATGGGAAGAAAAAAAAGTACTGAGTTTGTCTTTGTGTCCTGCAGAAGAACAAAAGTCATACAGGTTTGGTACAACATGAGGATGAGTGAAAAACAGATTTAAATTTTTTTGGTGAACTATACCTTTAAAATATGACTTAACAGTATAGTCTAGTGTGTCCATTACAGTACAATATATTTATTCTGCATGTAAAAACAATCAATAGCTTTACACATGCATAAGAAAACAGATTATTAGCAAAAGGTTTATTATATATATGTATATATGTGTTCATAAAAGCTCCACAGTATTCACTTGACGGCGAAGTAAAATTGACCATAATTATCTAACAAAAATATTATTAATATTATTTTCATGTTCTGTCCATATGAATGGCTAAGTATAACATCACTTATTTAAATCAATGTCTTTTTTTCAAGTGCACGGACAGTTCAGATTAAAAATAAGTGGTCCCAATTTTTTTTTTGCAAACGTGGACGTTTGGGGTAGTTCATCACTCAGAGAGAAAAGACAGGCTTCTCAGATGAATGGGTGCTGGAATATGTGGAGGGGAGAGACTCAGCCTGGAGCATTTCAATGGGAGTTTGATGATGTGTGTGCAGAGACAGGAATGGGACAAAAGTGGTCCTGGTTTATGCTGACGCGTAGCACATCTCTCGGCTGCAATCGAACACTAATCAATCTGAAGTGAGAATGAGAATATCAGAGAACAAACTGTAACCTGAACTCGTTATCACAGCGTTGCTTTCACACAGCGAGATTTTGAGCAATTGTAAATCTATATTTTTTTCCATCTTTCTCCTTTCATTTCTTAGACGATGGACAAAGCGGTCCTGTGGCCCCCGTGGTAAAATGAACCACAAAATTATATGTATATATCTTGCATAAGGCATACATGTATTTTAATAATAAAGATTCTGTTCTGCTTATTACACTTACTTAAACTTGGAGCATGATTTAAAGGAGCAGTTCACCCCAAAATGGACAGAGGACTCATACTGTAGCCCTAAAGCAAGGGTTTGAAGTTAAAAACGTTTTGATGGATTTATTGCAAACACACAGCTTTTCACTTCTCAAGACATTAGCTGGACTGGAGTTGTGTGGATTACTTGTGATGTTTTTCTCAGCTGTTTGGACTATTACTCTGACGGCACCCATTCACTGCACAGGATCCACTGATGAGCAAATTATGTACTGCTTAATTTCTCCAGAAACAAACCCATTTACATCTTTCTTGGATGACCTGAAGGCGAGTAAATCGTGAGCAAATGTTCATTTTGGGTGAACTACTCCTTTAATATGCCCAGCAACAAAAAGACCATCTGATTTTTACTCCATACACAATGTTCCAAAGGTTTTGTTTTTTTGCAGTGATGACATATTGAACCACCATTTTGGGTTCCTCAAATGACCTTCCAGTGAACCATTTTTTCTTAATTTGAAGAACATTTTAATCTAAACAGCCTTTTTCCATGATAAAGAACATTTTGTCTGAAGAAAAGGTTCAGAGGATGTTAAAGGTTCTTCATGGAACCATAGATACCAATAAAGCACCTTTATTTTTGAGAGTGTATCTACGTGGGATACTACTACATCACATGCATACATTAATCTTTGTCAAATGACATTTAATTTAAAAGTATTTGCCACCATGAGAATAGTTTTTCCTCTCTTGACTGTGAATAGGTATTCTTCTTAAATCTGTTTGAGGCAGATGCACCCTCGGCCCACAAGCGCTGAGCCTCATTTTCATCTAAATAAGAATCGATCCCTCTTGCTGTGCCACCCCCAGTGCTTCTAACGCTTAACCCCACTCTCCTGCTACACCACCTCCATCCCTACATTAACACAGAAAACTAAATACAAGCCAAGTCTAATCAGCCCGCGTGTGCAGGAGAAAAAAATGACCTCGTTTTCCAGCTCTTGAGATCGAAACGGTTAAAGGTTTTCTTTTGGGATTGTTAAAACGTCTGTCTTCAATTTCTCAGATCACAGTGGACAAAGTATTGAGAACGAACGCTGCTTTGTTCGAACACAGATATTATTATTATGCCATGGGAGTTCAGAGCAGGTCGTGTTTAGTCTTGTGGGCATGGAAATGTGATATAAACAGAGAGGATGTGAAGTGGAGAAATCACTGGGAAAATCTTCTAAGCCTGCGTCTTGCTCAGCAGCCCTGTGTGATGGTGAATAGAGAACAAGGGCTGGACGTGTGGGGGAAGGGGTCACGGGACGCACAAGAACAAACATAATAGACTGCTAAAAGGCCCTCAAAGAGCTCATGACTAAAGCCCAAAGGCCAGTGTCTTTTCTTTAAGCTAATATTGATGACTTAAAGCGTATAAATACTAGCTTGCAATGTTTGTCCTGGAAACAAGACACCAGCACAAACTGTTTATTCAATTTTACCATTCAGGCAGAAGGTGATGGATCCAGTGATGGATGAATGAATATCATTCTTAGTCCATTAGACATACAGGACAATTTAAAGACTGTTTAAAAGCATTTGGGGGCTAAACACGGAATCAAATCTTTCTTTTTTACATGACAAAAAAAAAAAGGTTTGAAGCAAATGTCAAGGCATTTAATTATATTCAGAAATCTGTAAAATTGTGAAAAACAAAACCCTATACAGACCTACACGGGTTAAAGTAGGGCTTTGAATAACTAGGTGAATAACTAGTCTGCCATCTAGTGTCCATCTTTGCACTTCATGTACACATCCCGAACCTTTTCCTCACTAAATCGAGAACATTAAGCAAAACAGTCAGACATTGAAGACAATTCAATATTCATCAGCTATTTATATTACTGTCCACATAGAGAAAGCAAGAGCAGACTATGCACCTGTACGTCTAGTATGAATGTATATACTTTTTATCCAAATTACTGGTTAATATAAAAATGACATGCATTTTGATATAGCAAAAAGTAGAAATGTTAGATTTAAAAGAAATAATGCAGAACCAAAATGCTCTTATCAGATCACAGAGCTTTTCTGTGGAAGCTCAGCATCCTACAGAAGTCATTACAGCTCTGTAAACTAAGAGGAAACACTAGATATGGGTCCTTTTATCAGCTGTCTGACTGGAGATGAAGGGAGATTCTGAAATCCAGCCCTGGCAGCTGTGAGAAAAACAAACAAACAGAAAAACCCAGCGCTTAATGCAATACACTGGACTCAATAAAAAGCAACTGGCACAATCAAGGCAGCTCCCACTGAATTGTATTTCATGTGATTTTACATCAAACGTAGTGCTATTTTTCAAACACCACGTTTGTCGTTGATGTTTTGCACTTAATTGTCAATTAGATTTTTTAACGTTTTTGAAAGACTGCATTTATTTAATACTAAATATTTAATACAAAATACAGTAAAAAGTAATATTGTGAAATATTACTACAACGTAAAAAGCTTTCTATTTGAATACATTTTTAAATGTAATTTATTCCTCTCTCGCTCATATATATATGTATATTATATACACACATACTGTACATACACACACACACACACATATATATATATATATAGCAGCAGCTGTGATTTCTCATGGAAAGACAGCAGCTCCCTCATTATACAACACTGTGAATCCATCTGTGAAGAAAGACAACTGCACATGACAGCAGCTCTCAAAACTGCTTTTTAAAAGAACATGACATATAACCAGTTCTCTAATTTATCAATTCTACATTGCAAATTACTTCATTTTTATTTCTGGGCACCATGAAATAACACAAAATACATGGCATGACCAGTGTAGTCTAATTCACAAAATGAAACTTATGAGCCAGCTCTCTCTTTTTTTTTATAACTCCAAAAACATCACAAATCAGTCTTGAGCTCACTCACTGAATAAAACAGACTGGAACAGTGACTTATTTAACAAAGTTTTGTCATTTAACTCGTGTATATCTACATAGTTAACACAGCGTTAAAAATATGCCACCAAAAAGTAGTATTATTTTTCTTTAAGGAACGTATTCTGACCTGCGCTTATTAAAACATATAAACAAATAAGTGAACATACTAAATTGTATTATATTTTAAATGATTAAAATCTTCTTTGTGACAAATGGGTAAAACCTCATGGTTTGAAGCTTTTTGTTAGATGAACTATTTTTACACAATATCATTTTAGTGGGTGTCTTCCATAAATAAAGGTAGAAATGTATGATAGTCATCATTTTTTGCTCAGAAAAAAATTTAATGAAACAGGACACATTATAATATACAAAAAAACTAAAGAAAAAACAAATAAATAAATAAAGCTGTATTTAACTTTTATTGTTTTAATGCTTCAAAAACCTTTATTCGCCTTTGACCCAGTTATATTATAATTCAAAATTTACTTTTGTCTCAAAGCCCTCAATTTTATTTTTGGTCCTTTGTCGTAAAATGTTTGGGCCCCTCTGGTATAGTTGCCATAAAATGGTAACGCAAACATAGCATTTAATAGCAAAAATGTCAACATTTATAGCAAATATACAAATTGCCACAAATTTCTTTGTGATAAGGCTAGTGAATATGTTGGCAGAACTACTAAACCGGACTAATTTCTATGGCTCTCAGGTCTGAATATATACTGTATTTGAGTCCTGAAGAACAAAGCATCACGGTCTCACCACTAGCTCCATGTTTCTGAGTAGTTTTTGCTGTCCCATGAGTACCTCCTTGTAGTCAGGTTTGTTCAGAATGAGCCAACTCTGTGAGGACTTTGCAAAGCATGATGGGTCCAGTGGCACCCCCTTCTCTTCACCCCACTCCACACATCTGCAACGGGAAAGAGATGTACAGCTAACAAACCAATTCAAAGCGAATGAATCTGAGCATCCTTCTGTATCCATGTGTGCTGGTGTGTTTATGTAGTTGTGCTCACTTGTCTATTTCGGCAGCTTTGCTCCGATGTTTGTTCAATAGTGACTCCCATGACATACTTTCAGCCTGTAACCTACATGAGGACATTGCCATGGCAAACGCAGTCATAAAATGAATTAGATGTCCACTGTAATGTCTTAGGTGGACAAGAGCAGAGAATTACCTGTTAATGTCCTCCTGAATGTGTGCAGTGGTCATGTTAACAACAGGGTCACTGCACATAGAGAGAGAGAGAGAGAGAGAGAAATGTAATAAACTGGAGTGTGCTTCAGGATCGAAGGACTAATGATGAATGAATGTAATCAACACAGAAAAACTGACTGACCTCTCAACAGTTGGAAGTGAATTCTGAGTTTCTCTTCTGATGTCTTTAGCCAGACCGTCCCACTCTTCATGTAAAGATTCAACTGGAAGTGAATAGCATTCATATAAATATCACTAAATATATTTTATAGGGATGTAACGATTACCGGTTTGACGATAAATCGTGATAAAATACTCCACGGTTAGTATTACTGTTTCATATTTTAATTATCACTATAACCGTATTTGATTGCCGCGATTTGAACAACTAAGGATAAATAAATACTGTCCAGCACAGGGCTCCAGAGTGCGACCAAATGGGTGGATTTTGCGATAATTTTTTCTGCCCGTGCGACTAAATTTGTGCGGTCGCACTGGCGCGACCACCGCATTGTTTAACTCATAAGCGCTGCCATATCTGTTGCATGTGAGAAACATCAAACGAAACTGAAAGCATGATGCGAATATTGAGGAAAGGATGGATGGTTTTCATGCTAAAGTAACGTAAAAGACCGCTTCTTAAAGCAAAGGTGAACATGTTGGTATTCTTGTGGGGAGGAAAAAAAACATGCAAGCACCGTCACCGACAGCAAGTTTAGTTTTACTTTTCTTTTTGTTTTCATTTTGAAAAGCTTGTTATCTTTGCTGTTTACCTCACCTTATGCTATGTAAGCTCTCTTTTTTTATTTGATTCCTCAGTGTTTGCTAAACGATCTGTAATTTATTAGTCGGTATATAATACAGCATGTGGTGTAGCCATGCCATGCCTAGTCTTATTCGTTTTTTGTTAATAAACGTTTTGTAAGCTAGTTTGTCATTTATCTTACCGTTTTATTGTTGTTATGCTTTTTAATTAAGAATAACAATGAATCCATCTTTTGTTTTAGTCTGAAGAAGTGAAATATGTATAGATGCATGTAAGCAAATCAGACAATTATCTTTTCTTGTAAAACGTGACACCAAGATCGCGAATTCGAAAGTGAAAGCATCCGAATCCCGGCTTATAACATGACGGGAAACTACCGTTCACAAAATTTAAATCACAAATAATACTGATGAAAAAGAAGGGGTTGAATGTTAACCACTTTCGTTTTCATATAACTATAAACTATGATAAAAGTTCATCAGCATGCATTGATTAATCCCTAAAAATAAAAATATTGCAACCAAATCATGTGCTGGTGTGACCAACTGAGAAAGTTAGTCGCAAAAGAGCGACCAGTGGGAAGAATGAGTCTGGAGCCCTGAAGCATAAAACACAGTTTTATTACATTCGATATTTGATATTTATATTAAATATGTGAACATGCTATAAGATAAACTGTTGTCAGTCATGTTGTCATTTAAAATCCGGACATCATTGGAAATGTTATTGTTTTAGATATGCAAACAAAAACTCATTTTATTTGTTGTTTGTTGATTTTAAATATAAAACTTGGTGAAGTGATTTGTGTGTCAGTACTTTTTGAACATCTCCAGCACATTTCAACAATACCGTGAAAATACTGATAACCGTGATCATTTTGGTCACTATAATCGTGATAAGAAATGTTCATACGTTACATCCCTAATATTTTAGATATAATTATAAATAGGATTATATTTTGGACAACATTCGGTAAGTACGGGCCTTTTCTGAGACGAACCCTAATAGATGAGGTTTTGTTGAAATTACAAAACATTTTGTTTGGAAATACAGTGGGGCAAAAAAGTATTTAGTCAGCCACCAATTGTGCAAGTTCTCCCACTTAAAAAGATGAGAGAGGCCTGTAATTTTCATCATAGGTATACCTCAACTATGAGAGACAAAATGAGAAAAAAAATCCAGAAAATCACATTGTAGGATTTTTAAAGAATTTATTTGCAAATTATGGTGGAAAATAAGTATTTGGTCAATAACAAAATTTAATCTCAATACTTTGTTTCTGAGTTTCTCTTCTGATGTCTTTAGCCAGACCGTCCCACTCTTCATGTAAAGATTCAACTGGAAGTGAATAGCATTCATATAAATATCACTAAATATATTTTATAGGGATGTAACGATTACCGGTTTGACGATAAATCGTGATAAAATACTCCATGGTTAGTATTACTGTTTCATATTTTAATTATCACTATAACCGTATTTGATTGCCGCGATTTGAACAACTAAGGATAAATAAATACTGTCCAGCACAGGGCTCCAGAGTGCGACCAAATGGGTGGATTTTGCGATTATTTTTTCTGCCCGTGCGACTAAATTTGTGCGGTCGCACTGGCGCGACCACCGCATTGTTTAACTCATAAGCGCTGCCATATCTGTTGCATGTGAGAAACATCAAACGAAACTGAAAGCATGATGCGAATATTGAGGAAAGGATGGATGGTTTTCATGCTAAAGTAACGTAAAAGACCGCTTCTTAAAGCAAAGGTGAACATGTTGGTATTCTTGTGGGGAGGAAAAAAAACATGCAAGCACCGTCACCGACAGCAAGTTTAGTTTTACTTTTCTTTTTGTTTTCATTTTGAAAAGCTTGTTATCTTTGCTGTTTACCTCACCTTATGCTATGTAAGCTCTCTTTTTTTATTTGATTCCTCAGTGTTTGCTAAACGATCTGTAATTTATTAGTCGGTATATAATACAGCATGTGGTGTAGCTATGCCATGCCTAGTCTTATTCTTTTTGTTAATAAACGTTTTGTAAGCTAGTTTGTCATTTATCTTACCGTTTTATTGTTGTTATGCTTTTTACATGCCATGCCTAGTCTTATTCGTTTTTTGTTAATAAACGTTTTGTAAGCTAGTTTGTCATTTATCTTACCGTTTTATTGTTGTTATGCTTTTTAATTAAGAATAACAATGAATCCATCTTTTGTTTTAGTCTGCAGAAGCGAATTATGTATAGATGCATGTAAGCAAATCAGACAATTATCTTTTCTTGTAAAACGTGACACCAAGATCGCGAATTCGAAAGTGAAAGCATCCGAATCCCGGCTTATAACATGACGGGAAACTACCGTTCACAAAATTTAAATCACAAATAATACTGATGAAAAAGAAGGGGTTGAATGTTAACCACTTTCGTTTTCATATAACTATAAACTATGATAAAAGTTCATCAGCATGCATTGATTAATCCCTAAAAATAAAAATATTGCAACCAAATCATGTGCTGGTGTGACCAACTGAGAAAGTTAGTCGCAAAAGAGCGACCAGTGGGAAGAATGAGTCTGGAGCCCTGAAGCATAAAACACAGTTTTATTACATTCGATATTTGATATTTATATTAAATATGTGAACATGCTATAAGATAAACTGTTGTCAGTCATGTTGTCATTTAAAATCCGGACATCATTGGAAATGTTATTGTTTTAGATATGCAAACAAAAACTCATTTTATTTGTTGTTTGTTGATTTTAAATATAAAACTTGGTGAAGTGATTTGTGTGTCAGTACTTTTTGAACATCTCCAGCACATTTCAACAATACCGTGATAATACTGATAACCGTGATCATTTTGGTCACTATAATCGTGATAAGAAATGTTCATACGTTACATCCCTAATATTTTAGATATAATTATAAATAGGATTATATTTTGGACAACATTCGGTAAGTACGGGCCTTTTCTGAGACGAACCCTAATAGATGAGGTTTTGTTGAAATTACAAAACATTTTGTTTGGAAATACAGTGGGGCAAAAAAGTATTTAGTCAGCCACCAATTGTGCAAGTTCTCCCACTTAAAAAGATGAGAGAGGCCTGTAATTTTCATCATAGGTATACCTCAACTATGAGAGACAAAATGAGAAAAAAAAATCCAGAAAAACACAATGTAGGATTTTTAAAGGATTAATTGGTAAATTCCTCTGTAAAATAAGTATTTGGTCACCTACAAACAAGCAAGAGTTCTGGCTCTCACAGACCTGACTAAATACTTTTTTGCCCCACTGTATAAGAATGTGTTGAAAATGACCCTTCCCCAAATACACTACCATTCAAAAGTTTTTTTTTTTTTTTTTTTTTTTTTTTTTTTTTTTTTTTTTTTTTTTTTTTTTTTTTGGATTAAACAAAATAAATATATTAAAAAGTGATCATACTAGATTTTATTATATTTTAAATTATTAAAAACTTTTTTTCTGAGAAATGGGTAGGTTTGAAGGATAGTGGCAAAAATTGGTAAATATTAAAAAAATTAATTATTATTATAAATTTTTTTTTTTAATCAATGCTTTTATTCAGCATGGACACATTAAATTGATCAAAAGTGTAAGTAAAGACATTTATAATGTTACTAAATATTTTTAATATATTTTTAAATAAATGATATCCTTTTCAACTTTCGGTTCATCAAAGAATCCTAAACACCTAAATCAGTTTCCACAAAAATATTCTGCAGCTCAACTGTTTTCAACATTGATAATAATAATAAATGTTTCTTGAGCAGCAAATCATCATATCAGAGTGATTTCTGAAGATCATGTGACACTGAAGAAGACTGGAGTAATGATGCTGAAAATACAGCTTTGCATCACAGGAATTAATTACATTTTAAAATATATTTAAATATGAAACACTTATTTTAAATTGTAATAATATTTCATAATATTACTATTTTTACTGTATTTTTTAATCAAATAAATGCAGCCTTGGTGAGCATGAGGCCCTTTAAAGAAAACATTTAAAAATCGTACCAATCCCAAAACTTTTGAACGGTAGTGTGTTATAACTGTATAACTTCCAGCTTGTTGCAAATACTCTTTATTTAATGAACAAATATTTTAGTAAAGTTATCCCCCAAAATGGTAAAGAAAACTTAACACGTAATATATACTAAAAACAGATAATTCCTGTGTGTTGAAGCTAGTGAAAATGTTTGCAGGACAAGTACAAATGTGAACGACTGGCTCGACCGGGACACCCTGACTTACCTTGAGTCTGGAGTGTCTCTGTATCAACACCAGGAACAGTGTACAGACTATTTTTGGCCCTCTTCACTGTCCTCTATGTACAACCAGGCAAAATAAATGGTTAGACTAGAAAGTAGAAAAGGTGAGAAAGTGGATTCATGGTCACAATGACAAAGCTGAATTGAATTTCCTTCATAATATGCATTTTAAAGACCTGCATAGCAGCTTTAATTAGCATCTCCAGCCTCTCATTATCAGGTAAAGACAGACTGACGGTTTCACACAGAGCTAAAAGACACAAAGAGAAGAGAAAATCAACACAATCCGAAACAACTCCAGCATGACGTCCGGTGAAAGTGTCTTTGGTTGGGCACTCACGCTGTGAGGAGCAGGAGAAAGCCGGCAGAGAGCGTCTGCCTCTGGACGATCTCCTCCAGGATTTCCTCCGTGAGCGAGGGCTTCGTTCTGGAGCAGTAACGGTCACACTTTCCCTCGTACGGTCCTCAGCAGAGCTCATCTTCGAGTCCTCCTCTCCTAAAAGCTGCATCGCTGCAGGAGCAGGTGACTTCTGAGGAGGACCGGAGATGTGGCTACTGTCATCATGAGACCGTTTGACTCCATGAGACACTTCTGAGACCTAGTTGAGACGGACGAATTGGAAACACATCACAGCATTAGATACACATATCCATGCATTTGTCACATGACTAAAGATATTGGAAGCTGTAATGAAGCGTAATGACATTTTAAAAGCATAACTAAGGAAGAAGCCAGTCTCAAAATATAACAGGCACTAAGCATGATAATGATTTTTGGATATAATGATCTTTTAAACGACAGTCTGTTTTTGAAAGTCACTCATGCTCACCGATGCTGCATTAAATTGATCACAGTAAAACACACAGGCCTGGTTTCACAGACAGGGCTTAGACTAAATCAGGATTAGGCCATGGTTCAATTAGGGCTTTTAAGTCATTTTTATAAACGTGCCTTTAAAAAAAAACATCACTAGTGTCCCTCTAGAGACAAAACAAAGGCACTGATATATTTTAAGATCAACCAGTGCAAGATTCTTTCAGTTGAAACAGCTCAGACTTACATTTTAGTCTGGGATAAGCCTCGTCTGTGAAACCGGGGGACAGTAAAAAAATAAATAAATAATAATAATAATAATAATATTGTGAAATATTATTACAATTTAAAATGTGAACTGAATTTTGCAGCCATTACGTCAGTTTTCACTACCACATAATCCTCCAGAAATGATTTTAATATGCCAATTGGCTAAATCCCAAAAGTTTGAAAGGTACATTTAAAAACAACCGAAAACAGATTTACCCTGGTATTGACGTTGCTGGCATCACACCTGTGCGAGACATTAAATGGTCATATAAGTTACATTCCAACACAAGGCAAACATCTTCTTCATATAGAAATTATCATCACACGTCAACGGGAAACATTTAGTACTTATACCGTATTCCCCATGTTATAAATAATGAAACACTCACGGTTCGATCTCTTCACTCTGGAGCTCCGCCATTTTCTTTCAAAGACCGCGCGCAGTGTCAAACATGCCCCGCCCACTTTCATGTCACCGTGATGGTTCTTGGGAACTGTAGTCATATTACATTAGCGTGACATTACACATGACGATTCTCATGTTTTGATTTGTGACTATTACAAAAAATCTGATAAACTATTATCCTACGGTGGCCGAGAAGTGCAAAAAAAAATCACAATTTTGAAAACAAAATAACTAATTACAAACGCAAATGCAAGTCTAAAAAACACAACAACAATTCAGAAAACAAAATGACAATTCAGAAAACATTATAACAAGTCAGAAAACACAATGACAATTCCGAAAACAAATTAACAAGTCAGAAAACACAAGGACAAATCAGACAAACCGGAAAAGGTAGGTATAGTTTGAGACAGTGCCATTGGTTTGGGATTACTCACCGCTGATTGGACGAGACATCTGTCAATCAACGTGTACAGGAAGAACCAGCCGAAGAACAGCAGAGTCGTGGTAGAAAGTTCGGAGATGGTATTAAAGTAGCTCAGTTTAAATGTGTTGTATGAATCGCCCTTACTATGGAATAAAAAAATACGGGGTGTCTATTTACATTTAGTTAAAAGTGGCTGTAAAACATCTGCTCCAGTAGCACAGATGGATGAGCGTGCCCTTGGCTTTTTGACGCGATCGACCCGGGTTCGATCCCGCCTTTCGCCGAACTTTTTTTCCCTCCGTTTTCAAATCTTGTAATAGCAATGGATTCTATTTACACTAAGTGAAAATAGCAGTATTTTTAGCAATATGCTATTTACACTAAGTGCAAATACCTAGTTACACTATGTTAAAATAGCAGGATTTCTACTATCAAGTATACTGCTTCTTGCAA